CTCGAACTCACGGAGCGCGAGATCGTGACCTGGCTGAAGTTGGACGCTTAACCGACTGCGCCACCCAGGCGCCCCAAATGTTTATTTATTTTTGAGAGAGAGCGTTTGCGTGCACAAGTTGGGGAGAGGCAGAGAGAGGGAGTCACAATCCAAAGCAGGCTCCAGGCTCTGAGCTGTCGGCACAGAGCCCGATGCGAGGCTTGAAGCCACGAACTGTGACATCGTGACCTGAGCCAAACTTGGAGGCTTAACCCACTGAGCCACCCAGGCATCCCTGGTTTTACTTTTGGTGGACATATTTTAGAAACTCGAAGACATTTTTCAGTAAATAAAAAAAAAAAGTATCCTGTTAAGTTTATCCTATTAAAAACAGAAACCTCTCAGGCAAATCCAGTTAACCCTTGAACAATATGGGGGTCAGGGGCGCTGATCCCCGCCGGCCCCCCCCCACTTCCCGAAAGTTGAAAATACATGTATATCTTTTGACTTTCCCCAAACATAACTACTAATCCCCTACTGTTGACTGGAAGCCTTACTGATAACATAACCAGTTGATTAACACATATTCTATATGCTGTGTTAATATATACTATATTCTTGCAATAAAGTCAGCTAGAGAAAAAGGAAATGTTAAGAAAAATATAAAGAAGAGAAAATGTATTTCCAGTGCTGCACTGTAAACAATCTCTGTGTAAGTGGGCCTGCACAGTTCAAACCTGTGTCAACTGTAGTTGTTTTAAGGTCTAGTTTTTTTTTTTTTTTTTTTTTAATGAATACAGTTTTTTTCCTTCAACTTTAATATGCGATATAGTGAATCTCACAGACCAGTTTAGCACAGGAACACTTGATTCTCTGGTTATCAATTTGTTCTCTGTTCTGTTTTTAGTTTAAATTCTTTCCCCTTCATTTAATACTTTATGGTTGATTGATAGTGAATGACCATGAGTGATTCTCAGGTACATTCTTATTAACTTCAAGGTCTTGTTCAAATAATGTTAATGGGACCATTTGGAGTGAAATGCTGTTTTGTGATAAGTGCACTCCTGACGGCCCCATCTATCTCTAGCTTTGAGTGTGGGATGGGTCTCTTCCTTTGCTTGTACGGTGCCTTCTACATACATTCCTTCGAGGATCTCACTCAATATTATGTTCATTTGTCATCCCCAGGAGATTGAATTCCTTGAGAGCAGGAACTAGCACATATAAACAGTTGCTGAGTAAATGCACGAAAGAAAGAATAAACAATATGGCAGTTTCAGCTAGCCCGATGAGACATCAGAATGTTTTGGTAAAGAGTATAGACTCTGAAGCCAGAACCCCTTGGATTCAAAGCTTCGTTCCATCATTTATTAGCTATGTGTCCATAGACAGCTGTATGTGACATTTTTTTTTTTAAACGTTTATTTATTTTTGAGACTGAGACAGAGCATGAACGGGGAGGGTCCGAGAGAGGGAGACACAGAATCTGAAACAGGCTCCAGGCTCTGAGCGGTCAGCACAGAGCCCGACGCGGGGTCGAACTCACGGACGTCGAGATCATGACCTGAGCCGAAGTCGGCCGCCCAACCGACTGAGCCAGGCGCCCCTTGTTTTGGTTTTTCAAATATGGGGGTAATTAGACTACCCGACCCTTACAGGTGTTGCAGATTAAATGAGGCTGTATGTGCAAAGTGCTTAGAACAGTGCCTGTATATGTTAAGTGCTATGTAAGTGTTTGCTACTATTGTTATTAACCCCCCCTTAAGAAAAGAGTCCTGGCGGGGAATAGTGGATGCCCTTAGGAAATTCATTCTAGAATTCAGTTTTTCTCCTGTCATCATGAAGAAGTGCTTTGTCTTCACTTGGGGTTCAGGAGCCCTCAGGTATGGGAAGGGGTAGTGGCGGTCTTCTTACATCAAAAGTGGAGAACACTGGTACCTTCGTCAGTTGTCAGGCTGCACGGGCTCACTTGAGCTGGCAAACAGCTTTTCATTTTGGTTAGGAGCATATCGGCGAAGTATTGTAGCACCGTTAACTCAAGCGGTCTCTGATTCATCTTAATGCCGAGGATAAAACAAATTAGCTGTTAATTGACAAGGATAGTTTATTCGGTGTGTAAAATCTTTAACAACAGTGATCCGTGGGAGAGATAATAAGGGAATTTTGGATGATAAACAGGAGTGGGGAAGATGCAATTGAAAGTTGTTGGGTTTTTGGGTTGGGTTTTTTTTTTGGCAATTTCTAAGATTTTATTAAAATGGGTTTTTTTAAGTTTATTTTGAGAGAGAAAGAGAGCGCCCGCGCGTAAGTGCAGAAGGGAGAAAGTGCAAAGAGAGAGAATCCCAAGCAGCCTCTGCACTGTCAGTGCAGAACCCACACCTGGCCCCATCTCATGAACCGTGAGATCATGACCTGAGCTGAAATCAAGAGTCAGACCCTTAACCAACTGAGCCACACAGGCGCCCCATTAACATGAGTTTTTAAATATTTTTTAACGTTTATTTATTTTTGAGAGATAGAGAGACAGAATGTGAGCAGGGGAGGGGCAGAGAGAGAGGAAGTCACAGAGTCTGAAGCAGGCTCCAGGCTCGAGCTGTCAGCACAGAGCCCGACGTAGGGGGTCGAACTCATAAACCATGAGATCATAACCCGAGCTGAAGTAGGATGTCTAAGTGACTGAGCCACCCAGGCGCCCTTAACATAAGTTTTTAAAAACAAGCATCCACACCAATGTGGGAGTGAGGATGGGAGAAGAGCGGAGGGCAGGGCAGAGCAAGACAGGGGGAAGGAATTGTGCTCTATTGATACTAAAGCTCCAGGTTCATCCTACCGTGGATTTCTTATTCCCCAGACACGTGGTCCTTAAAAATTGTGTACCACTTCTTCAGGATGATCTTGTTACAATGGGTGCCATTTTGGGGTGTGATCAGCTTCTTAAGGTCCCTGATGGATGTTATCAGTGTAGCGGGGACCTTCTTCCCCAGCTGGTCATTACAAACAACCTCGACCATCCTGTCTGGAGCTGGAAACTCCTGGCACCTGACGATGCCACAGCCCCCTTGCCCTGGAGCCAAAAGATTTTTGAAGACTGTTGCATTGACTGATTTTTCAAAATCGAATGATTTTTATTCTTTGTGTAAAGTGATCTGTTGGATATGATTGATTTTATCTAGCTGTTGGCCTCAGGTATATTTATTTTTGGTTGTCTCCTTCCCGATATTTTATTATAAAGAATTTCTAATATACACGAATGGAAAAGGATTTTACAGTGAACATCTTTGATATGCTGAACACATAGATTCTACCACTAATGTTTTGCTCTACTTGCTTGATCAAGTATCTGTGTATTTACCCATTTTTCTATCCATTCCCTAATACATTTTATATTTTTATATATTTGGTTAGGTTTATTTGATAAGAAAGTCATCTGTATGGGAAAAGTCAAGTTTTTCAGCCCCTAAGATGCTAATAGTGCCATATACATACCCGAAGCAATAAAGAATTGCACAGTTAGAACTCCTCTTACTGGCAGGATTCTTTAAGGATCAGAGTGGGGATAGAGAAAGAAATGTGTGGAAAAGTAAGTACTTGGGAAAATAATTCAATATAATAGGTAGCTTCATCAAAACGTTCTTTTTCATATAGTTTGTTTTTTAGTTTCACTTTGCAAGCTCAAGCTCAGTTGTTATTGTTTCCAGTAAATGGCAACATTTACGGAGCAGAAGAGGAACTAAAACTTCATAGACTTTAATAACTTTATGAAAAACTTTATAAACTTTATAAAAAGTTATAAAGAAAATTCTTGCAGGTTCAAGTTCACAATAAAGTACACACAAGCACCTGAGATGTCCGTTTGTGTCAACTTTCCGTCCCCTAAACAAGTTCCGGAATCTAATTGGGTAGCTTTTCTTTTCCCCACTGGTATAGAATCCACCCTGCTAGCTCTTTGGGAGTCCTGCCAGCAACTCGAATAGGTCACAGGGCAAAATCTTGATTATGATTCAAAAAAGAAGGCGTAGTCTTCTTTTCCTCATGAACTAAGGAAACACTCACTAGAAAACTGCTTCTTGTGGGAGGGCAGCTTTCGTTTGCTGTTGCTTTCGGGGGGTCATGTCTATTAGAGATGCAGAGTTGCAGAGTCACTAATGAGCATTTATCCCTTTTACTTTTAGTTCACTTCTTTAACTGAGATGGACATGATATAATCTCCAGTGAGTCAAAGGATGGCGTCTAGTCCTGTGCTTCCCACCGAGGATGAACAGGTTTCCTTGGGCATCGATGGTCGCCATATTACACTGCAAGGTAATTACGGTTGGGTGGGGTGACACCCATCGCAACTGTGGAAACCTTACCCTCATCTGGTCTCAAATCCTACCGCTTTCTGCCTCTCTTCAGTATTTTTCCAATTGTAGAACCTTGCAGTATGTGTACATGTCTTTATTGCTACCTCAGCAGTCTAAGAGAGTAAGAAATACCTGGAAGGAATTGGGTATCTTGGTTTCTCATTCTTGAGTATATGCATTTCATTTGTAGTGAAAATAGTTAACCATGGTTTGCTTGGAATCGTTTGCACTCATTTTGCATCTTTTTTTGCATAGCCTCTTTTAAATGTACATCCTTATTTGGTCCAAATAGAAAAGAATAATAGTAGTATTATAAGTGAATGACCTTTCAATCATATGAATCGTGTGTGCATTTATGCAGACCCAGTACTGACTGTGTTTTTTTTAGTGCTTCTTGTGGAGTCTGGCAATATTTGTTTTGCACTTTGAAAATTCATTAGACTTTTCACCCTTGTTGATAAAACAAATCTTGGAGCTGAGTAAAGTTAGCTAGTGCAGAAGAAATAAAGCTATGGTAAGCCTTTGAAAATATTTATGAGACTATGTTATTTTAAAGTAATCTTTAAGATTATGTAGGGCATTATACAAAATTCTTCGAATGTTACTTAGAAGCCATAGATTTTGAGTCATTTTATTTTGTGCTTTTTTATTTTTTTAAAAAAATGTTTAATGTTTATTCATTTTTGAGAGAGAGACAGGCAGAGTGAGCAGACGAAGGGCAGAGAGAGAGGGGGACACAGAATCTGAAGCAGGCTCCAAGCTCTGAGCTGTCAGCACAGAGCCCGATGTGTGGCTTGAACTCACAGACTGTGAAATCATGACCTGAGCTGAAGTCGGACGCTTAACTGACTGAGCCACACGGGCCCCCTGTACTTTATTTTTTATTGAGGTATAATTGACCTACAACATCTTACTAGTTTCGGGTGTACAACATAATGATTTGATATTTATGTGTACTGTGAAATCATCACCACAGTAAGTTTGGTTAATATCATCATATATAATTACAGATTTTTTTTGCTTATCACGAGAACTGTTTAGATTTGCTCCCTTAGCAATTTTCTTTCCTTTTCTATTTTAATGTTTTTATTTTTGAGAGAGAGAGAGAGAGAGAGAGAGCACGAGCAGGGGAGGGGCAGAGAGAGAGAGAGGGAGACACAGAATCTGAAGCAGGCTCCACGCTCTGAGCTGTCAGCACAGAGCCCGATGTGCGGCTTGAATCCATGAACTGCAAGATCATGACCTGAGCCGAAGTCAGATGCCCAACTGACTGAGCCACCCAGGCACGCCTCTCTTAGCGATTTTCAAATATACTATACGGTATTATTAACTATAGCTGCTATGCTGTACATTACTTCTATTTGAGTCATTCGTGACTCCCCAAATGACTTTCTGATATTTTATTTTTAATTAGAAAAACATGATTTGAATGATTAGCTTCTTGATTTGGGGGTCAGATGCCTATTGCACTAGACTGTGCCTATATGTGTCAGGCTTTTATTTTTATTTATTTTTATTTATTTTTTTTAACATTTATTTATTTTTGAGACAGAGAGAGAGCATGAACAGGGGAGGGGCAGAGAGAGAGGGAGACACAGAATCTGAAACAGGCTCCAGGCACAGTCAGCACAGAGTCCGACGCGGGGCTCGAACTCGCATACCGCGAGATTGTGGCCTGAGCCGAAGTCGGACGCTTAACCGACTGAGCCACCGAGGCGCCCCTGTATCAGTCTTTTAAAAATAACTGTAATGTAATTTGTGTAGGCTAAGAAACATAATATGTTGAGGTAGTACTTGAAGTAAGAATTGTAAAGATTTTCAGTAAGTATATTTTTTATAGTGTCATACAATATCCATAAGTAGCTGGAATAAGTGTGGGGGGCCTGGGTAGAATAGATGATGGGGATTAAAGATCGTACTTGTGATGAGCACTGGGTGATGTACAGAACTATTGAACCACTATATGACACTGTATGTTAACTACGCTGGAATTTTAAGTTAAATTAAAAAAATTTCATTCAACTGGAAAAAAAAAAAAAAACCCCTGATGTTTTCTTGTTTTTCTCTGAAGTTTTGGTGGCAGGTGAGTAGGAGCTCATGTAGCCTGAAACATATCAGGAAGAGAGTGCATCACTAAATAGTAACATAAATCTAATTTCTGTTTCTAGCTCTGGCACTTGCTAGTTCTTTGAACTTGGACAAAAGGCTTTATCTTTTTTGAATCTCAGTTTCCCCACACTTAAGATACGGATGGTGATGCCTGTGTTGCTTCTGTGTTTTGAAGGTGAACAATGATACATAACGCATTCAAAGGGCTTAGCTCAGTACCTGACACAGAGTATGAGTTTAATAAAGGCATTGTAACTTCTTTTCATTTTTTATTTATTTTTTATTTTTAAAGTTTATTTATTTATTTTGAGGGGCGGCTGGGTGGCTCAGTTGGTTAAGCGTCCGACTTCGGCTCAGGTCATGATCTCACGGTCCGTGAGTTTGAGCCCCATGTCAGGCTCTGTGCTGACAGCTCAGAGCCTGGAGCCTGTTTCAGATTCTGTGTCTCCCTCTCTCTCTCTGACCCACCCCTGTTCATGCTCTGTCTCTCTCCATCTCAAAAATCAGTAAACGTTAAAAAAAATTTTTTTTTTTAAGTTTATTTATTTATTTTGAGAGAGAGAGAGAGAGAGAGGCAGAGAAAGGGAGAGAGAATCCCAAGCAGGCTCCTACTGTCAGTGCAGCACCTGACATGGGACTCGAACTCACGAACTGTGAGATCATGCCCTGAGCTGAGATTGAGAGTTGGATGCTTGACCGACTGAGCCTCCCAGGTGCCCCTGTAACTTCTTTTTATATATTTACAGTCAAAATCTTTGTCCCCAAAGACTTCTTGTCTATGAGCACACAGCTAGAGTAGAAACTGCTTAGTGTATAGAAAAAAATTATAAACCAGAGTCTGGTTTTTACTGGTTTTTGGTTTTGTTTTGACATTTTCCTATTCAGTGGCTTCCCATCACATGTGGGATAGTCTAGACCTCTTGGTGTGGCTCACAGGCTCTTCCGGTCTGGTGCTCCTTTCTCTCTGCCCTCGTCTCCCATTTCACCCCCATAAGCACCCTGTGCTCCGGCTGTATGGCTGCCTGAGGGTCTGTACTCCCCCTGCCTCTGTGCTTTCGTGCAGGCTGTCCTGCTGTAACCCCCCTCTCCTCTTCTTGCGGAAGCAATCCAGCTCACCTATCCCTCGTGGATCCCTCATCCATCCCCAAATCAGCTGGACTCAGCCTCCTCCTTAGCCGTGCTCTCTCTTTGGCTTGAGATTCACACTTCCTCCTCTGTTCTCCCGCAGAACTTATTTTAGCACTGATAGTATTACAATGATTATATCTCATAATGTTTTCTTCCCCACTGCAGTGCGTTCTAAGACTTCTATATCATAGGCTGTAGCATGCACAGCACTCTTGTGCACATTCAGTCCTCACAACCACGTTGTGAGGTAGATGTTTTTATCTTCAAGGTACAGAGAGGATCGCTGTGGCTCAGGAAGATCGAATTACTTTCCCAGAGTCACACAGTGAGAGGCAGAGCTGGGCCTTGACCTGGAGGATTGTTTTCTTTCTACTGCACCACACACCCCCTCGCATGTCAACATGTGTAGACATATTTGAAGGAAGGAATTTCCCTAACATCCTCTTTGGAAAATCTACTTAAATCTTAACCTTATTCTAGTTAATCCATAGTAAACTTACACATCCAGAATATGGATGGGCATCTTCAAGTAACATTAATGATCTCAGGTTCACAAATAGCTCAAAATAATTAGCAAGTTACTAAGAATTGAGTGGTTTCTCATAGCATGTTTTGAATTATACTAGGCTAATAAAGTCTGCTTTACAATAAGAGATAAATACAGGCTGTTTGGCAACGGGAATGTAATATACATGCACTGCCAGTGTGAATGATTTTTCTTTATGATCCATTTAGGGGAACGTAGTACTAGATGCATTGCTCTGTAGGGGGAGAGGAGGAAAGCCAATACTGTAATGTAATCAGATTTATACTGGGCAAGGGGTGCTCACATTAGCGAGGTACACTCAGGGATATCAACCGAGAGGTTCCCGTGACTGTAGAATGAAAGCTTAACTGTGACGTGAATACATTTCTCACGGTTAAGTTCTACATTATTATTAGTAGGTTTATAGTTCATCTGGCTGAAGTTCCTTGAGTTGAAAGAAAGAAAGAAACAAAGAAAGAAAGAGGGAGAAAGGAAGGAAGGAAGGGTGAAGGGAGAAAAGAGGGAGGGAGGAAGGGAGGGAAGAAGGAACTTTTATGTATTTCTTTTTTTTTATTCTTTTTTTGGGGTAATTTTTGTAATTCTGTTTTTTTAATTTACATCTAAATTAGTTAGCAAATACCGCAACAATGATTTCAGGAGTAGATTCCTTAATGCCCCTTACCCATTTAGCCCATCCCCCCCTCCCACAACCCTTCCAGTAACCCTCTGTTTGTTCTGCATATTTAAGAGTCTCTTCTGTTTTGTCCCCCTCCCTGTTTTTATATTATTTTTGCTTCCCTTCCCTTGTGTTCATCTGTTCTGTGTCTTAAAGTCCTCATATGAGTGAAGTCATATGATATTTGTCTTTCTCTGACTAATTTCGCTTAGCATACTACCCTCTAGTTCCATCCACATAGTTGCAAATGGCAAGATTTCATTCTTTTTGATTGCTAAGTAATACTCCATTGTATATATATTCCACATCTTCTTTATCCATTCATCCATCAGTGGATATTTGGGCTCTTTCCATACTTTGGCTATTGTTGATAGTGCTGCTATAAACATTGGGGCTTTTATATATTTCTAAAGATAACTTTGGTTTCAAAGCAGAATTATTAGCTATTTAGACAAAAATCAACAGATGATTTTATGTACCTTAGTTAACTATGACTGAATGGCAAGCTGTTGACAACAGT